ATTCCCTGGAGAACTGTGATCGTCGCTCCCGCGCCTCACTCAGCCAGTGAGCGGGAACCGGTCTGTATGTGGGATCCGAACCCTCGGCGGGAGCGCCGCCGCGCTTCCCAAGCGGCGCACTATCCAGTGCGCCACCAGGCCGGCCCAGAAGCACAGTTTTTCTGATATGCTTAACTCTGAGACAAAAAAACAAAGTTGCAAGTTTTGCTTTTTTCTGATGTTTATCATCATTGTCATAATGACCATACCTTGCCAGGGGGCTTTCTATTTCCCCAATGACGTTCACAGAATGGCTTTCCATTTGACTGGATCAACCCATGTTATTATTGTTTCCCAAAGCATTGATACTTATTTATTGAGAGACATACTAATTCATCATACTCACTGGATACATAGAACTAAAATGGTATAACAAGAGAAATGTAAAGGAGCGATGTTTAAAGTATAACATTTTGGACCAAGGAAGAGTCACTCAGCTCTCACCTAGTTTGCCAGACTGGTCCCTGCTTGTGTCACATTTGTTTGTGTTTTTTGTTTTTTCTTTTTTTTTTGTCTTTTGTCTTTTTTCCGTGTCCGGCAACGGATTGCAACCCTCAGTGTTGCCCCCGTACCGGACCGGGGACCGGCAACGGGATCGCAAGCCTCGGTGTTGCTCCCGCACCTCGCTCAGCCAGTGAGCGGGAGCCGGTCTGTATGTGGGATCCGAACCCTCGGACGGGAGCGCCGCCGCGCTTCCCAAGCGGCGCACCATCCAGTGCGCCACCGGGCCGGCCCCATTGTTTTTTCTTTTTAAGAGGGGCTGTTTAGCCAAGGGTTCATTATTTTTTTTAATTAATTAATTTATTTTTTATTTTATTTTATTTTAACAATATATAATATAGTTGATTTTCGTGTCCCTTTACAGATTCCAACCACCCCCTTCCCTCTCCCCCCTCCCCCCATCAACACCAGCCACACCCCACTGCATCATATCTGTTCACTTGTCTTAACAAGTTCAAGGAATTGTTGTGATTGTTGTGTCTTCTTTCCCGCTCCCCCCCGTTTGTTTGTGTATTTATTTATTTATTTTTAGCTCCCACAAATAAGTGAGAACATGTCAGCTTCTTCTAAGCCTCGCTTGTGCCCACTGTGGCCTGTTTGAGGTTGGAAGTTTCCTTTTCTGTCCTGTGGCCCACACCGCGTCCTTTTCTTTTTCTGATTCACCTTCAGTCTCTGATCCTCCATAGCTCTCCCCAACTCTCACTTCGGTTTCTGTCCTTGGACTAATTACAAAGCCACAAACAGTTGAAAAAGGTGGATGGTTGCTGGTTGCTTACTGTGGCTGGTAAACTCAGGAGGAGTTCCACCCATAGCTGCAGAACACGTCTTGTGGTCAAGCCACTAACTAATGATAGTGTTTAACATTCCTGATTCTAAGTAAAGGAAATCACTTTTGGTTCCTTGGATAAGTTGTTGGCAAATTTAAACACGCAAAAAATGGGGAAAGTGTTGGTTGTCTCCCTGGTAAGGGAGCTTGTGCTGTGACTGTTTTCTCTTGCTTTGGGCTGCAGGCCATGTAGAGTGCATCGAGTCCCTTGTAGCTTTTGGAGGCAACATTGACCATGACATCAGCCACCTGGGCACTCCGCTCTATTTGGCCTGTGAAAATCAGCAGATAGCCTGTGCCAAGAAGCTTCTGGAGTCAGGTAAAACAAAAAGCAAAACAAGGAAAGAAAATGAAAAGTAAATTAAATGTATTTTAAAGATCTTCCTTCCTATTGTAGCAGAAGAATGAGTGTGGGCAGTGGTGTCCGCCAAGGTCAGGGCTCGTATTGACTGTGTTCCCATGGGGACTTATTTCACGCTGTTTGAACTTTACTTCTCTCACTTGTAACAAGGGTGATGATGATGATGATGATGATGATGATACCTTCTCCCAGAGTGGACCTCAATGACTATTAGTTTCTCCTCCCATCCCTCTGCCTCCCTCCCTCCCTCCAGCCGGTCATATTACTAGGCCCTGTTAACTTGGAAAGCTGCTGGATTAGGACTGAGTCTTCTATTTCAGACTTTTTCCTACCAGTTTTCTGATTTGGAAATTGAACTTGACCCATCTTTAGCCCATTGTAAATATATTTTCTTTGAAAAGGTCTTTGTACCGTCATTCCTTTTCTCCTCCCTGCTGTGTCCAGCCTCCTTCTTAACACCTAGAACTCCATTTTATCACCTCTTTAATTATCTCAGTTCTGTTTATTGTTTCAGACTCTGGTAACCTCTCCCTCTGCTGAATCTGCTTTTAGTCTTTATTGCTTTCTACTCATTTGGCAGCCATTGCTATGGATTAGGAGATTCTCTCTCTCTCTCTCTCTCTCTCTCAGATCATTCCCACTAGCATTAAAATATTCTCATTAACACTGTCCATCTTAAAAAAAAGAAAAAGTCCCCATTGATCTTATCATCCTCTCTAGTTACTGACCTGTTTTCTCCTTTATTTCATAGAAAACTCATCTAAAGTTTTGCTGCCTCCTCAACCTCTCTTCCTATCTTCTCCACGAAACTTTTATCAAGCCACCAATGTCCTCCACATTGCCAGATTTAGATGTCAACTCTCAGACATCATTCTGCTCACCTTGTCTGCAATATTTAACACAGCTGATCAGTCAGCTCTGCTCCTTCAAACATGCTCTTCTTTTGGTCTCCAAGGCATCACTCTTTCTTCTTGTCCCTTTTTCTGGCTGTTGCTTCTCAGTCTCATCATCTGGCTGCTTTTACATTCCAGATTTCCAAATACTGAAATGACTCAGAGCTCAGACCTTGGGTTTCTTCTCTTTTTCTCTCCCTGTCTCTCTCTCTCTCTCTCTCTCTCTCTCTCCATCTCTCCTGTCTCCCTAGGAAGATTTTAATCTCTTAGTCAGGAAGGACCGTGTTTCATGTCCCTCACTAAGTCAAGAGCAATACAAGACCAATTCAGTTAACATTTGTTCAGTCTATATAGATTCTCATTTTAGTAGAAGAACAGCAGCTCACTCAAAGCCACATGTCCCCACATGTCACAGTGAGAAGCAGGATCTGGGCTGGGGTGGGGATTTGTTAAGAGTGTAGAGCTGGAATTGGGTTGGGATGGTCCTAGAACTCCAACTTGCTCCTGAAGAGAAGAACTTTGCCACCTTCCCTGCAATCCTGGGATTGGCTACCCCAATCTAGGAGATGCCCCCAAGAATTGGTTGCTTTTTACAGTTCAAATCACATAGTCCCAAGTCCCAGATTTTAAACCCTACAGTGGCTGCTCAGCATGTGAATTTAGCTGGTTGGTGTAGACAGGATTTCACCGTTTAGCCTCACTCTTGGTCTATACTGGCTAATACTTAGGCTCCATTAATAATGAATGTGCAGCTTTCACACCACCAGGATTTTTCTTGTTTGTATCGTGCATATGCATAGTGCCCAAAGTCGAGTTTTAACTTCATAGGCTACACAGCTCATGCTGTACATGCAGTCACACCGTCAAATGGCATTGTCCCCATACTATGAAAAGGATTCAAGTCATCTCCTGTTTTCTCAGAATTGCCATGCTCACTATGGAGCCCTTTTTTTGTTAGGGAATTTGAGGCTCAGTGCTTTGAAAAGGGGGGATTGGACTGTGCTCCTTAGCTGACCCCTTTTTGTTGTCATTAACTATTTAGGAGCAAGTGTGAACCAGGGCAGAGGTCTGGATTCCCCTCTTCACGCAGTGGCCAGGGCATCCAGTGGAGAGCTGGCTCGCCTGCTCATGGACTTTGGAGCAGACACCCAGGCCAAGAATGCTGAAGGCAAACGTCCTGTGGAGCTGGTGCCTCCAGAGAGCTCTCTGACCCAGCTCTTCTTGCAGACAGAAGGTGCTTCTCCTTTGCCCGAAACTAAGCCCTAATCCATAGAGGCTCCTTCAGGCTCTAGTAGGAGGCAGGTACTTACCGAGTTCTGACTTACAGTCCTATAAAGATCATTCTATGCCATCATCAAATGTGGAGAAGTTGAGGTAATTTGGTATTCAACGAGATACAGTACCGTTATGTAGTAAATATCCATCCTGTTGTTTGGCATGTTAGAGACAGGCTCTTTGGGATGATATGGGTAGGCCAGTTTTCAGAGAATTAAGATATAGTTTTAAAACTGTAATATTAAAGTTATCTAAAGCATGCTTTGGAATGATGCAACAGAAGCCTCTTTGGGGTTGTAGGATGTTCCAGGACATCTTACTGCACTACAGGTGGGCCAGACTACTGGGCATTTGGTTTCTGGGGGTAAGAATGCAGCTAGTTAAGAGTTTAGAATATTACTTTAATGATTGACACCAACCTGAAGACATTTACTATTATAATGTGATCAGCACTAAGTCCATGCTCCTCCATAAATAAGCATGGACACTCCTGACCCAAACAACAGCGTTTAGTTATATTATGATTGAGCAGTGTACACGGGCATAGGGGTACTTTCCTGGGCTGTGCTGTCAGGAATGGGCTGGGATAGAAGCAAAGAGTCCTAAGGTTGGGGAAATACCCAATCTCATTCTTAATTTCCTCTAGAAGTGAAAAAGCAGCTGACTTAGTATCTACTTTCTTACCGTGTGTCGACTGAGTTGTTTTAGGAGTTATGGGACTTCGAAGCAGTCTCCCCTGCCAGAAGGATCCCAATGTGGTGTAGTCTATTTCCACCACACATGCTGAGAGGTAGCGCTGGCTCTGGGCAGAACTGGAAGGTGAGCCAAGGAATCCTTCTCCGTCCGACTCCCACTGTCCTGGGGTACTTGTGGCCAAGCCTCTGCCTGGTGCTCCCGAGCAGTGTGGGTTGGGCTAGGGAAGACCGATTCCAGGTGTAAGGAATAGTCCAGCAGAGATCCCTTTATATTAAGCCGTGGGATAGTTTCTTGGCAGTTCTACCTGCCATTTGATGATTCTTATTTTCAAAAAATTCTGTCTATATACAGAAGGCTGATTTCTTCTGCACAGGCTGCATAGGGCCTTGGGGTCCACAGAAATATGTTAATGGCTTTTGAAATTAGGAGAGAAAAAGATGAATAAAACTCAACCTGGATTATATTCATCTTTATACCAACACAGATGTGAAATATACTTTTTAATGTTTTTTATTGGTAAAAGGATCCACAAAGGTAAAAATGTTTCCGGGCCCCCTAAAGTCATAATGTAGGGTGTACATGCTCCCTTCCGCATCAAGTGATCTCATAGCATTTTCACATTGCCTTCACTCTCCCTGCCCTTCCACTTTGTTTCCCAAAGCCATTCCTAGAGAACTAGGTTGCCTTTAATTCCTTTAATTCACATTTTGCATGGTGACAGTGTGGCCAATGATCCCACTGGTTTCTAAAGTAGAATTTGCCACTGGAGAGAATCGCTGCTTGTTTTGCCTTCACGAGTCATTTCTGGGGTTCTGGTGAGGTCACTTCTCAGCAGGCCGGCTGGAAGCCCATGGGAAATGGGGCCAGGCTAGTGCAGAATGCCAGAGCTGCAGATTCGAGGCAGCAATTTCTGTCTCTGGGTGTCCCCGCCAATCCATTTGTTTCAGTCCACCTGTTTCTCTGTACCCAGGGAAGGGAGTTAATTAAATTACTGTTCTCTTTCAATGGTGTGGTGACAGGAAAATGTTAGGTGAAACCCAATCATGTTCTGGGTTGGGCATCCCTTCTTCGGAGGGAAGGAGAAAGGATTTCAAGAATATTACTACCTTTCCCCGCTTGATAAACACCTAAAGCAGTGTTGTTTGCTCATGGCACACAATGAAAACTAAAAATGACTCTCAGTCCGATGCACCAGAAGTACTCTCCCCTCCCCCCCAGAATGTGCTTTGGCCTTAAAGCATTCTGAGTGTTATGGGGGCGGGGATCGAGACCCAGAGGAATATGCTAACTCATAAATATGCAATTAGCTGATTCTTTGATCAAGCATAAGCAACCCCCCAGAATGTTTGCAGGTGCCAGCAAGTGGCTACAAAGCCGTAGTGGGTTTTCAGCTCTGTTTATATGGAATTAAAGCTCCAGTTGCTATACTGGTCCTCTTTGTAGTAAACTGTCAGCAGCTATTCAGCTGGCATCAGTAGTTACACTGAGCTCATTCTAACTTCCTGCTTCCCAGAGTTCTCTGTCGGGCTTGCTCTGAGATCTTGTTCTTCATAAAGCTTTATCAGTACCTCCTAGAGTTGCCCTGACAGTGTATCTAGCACATACGATTAGTCACATCCTTCCACATTCCTTAGTGAGGTAAGATAGAGTTCAGTTTCCCCACAGTGTACTTTTTGCAGTTTGGTAATATATGCCTTTAGTACACTGGGAAGTAGTTCATTAATATATGCTTTGAGTACACTGGACATAATCTGGAAAGTACCTTAAATTCCAACAGGGCCCTTCTGAACATGCTGTTAGAGCCTGATCTAAAATATTGCATTTATTTTTTTCGATTGTACGTGTGTCTATTTCCACCTGTCCTTGTTCTCCATCACCTGAGAAATATGTAACTCAGTTTATCCTGTACCTTGTGGTGATGCTATAGGAAAATAGAGGCCACAGGATCCTTTCGGCTGTATTCCCAACCCTGGTTGAACAATAAAATGACCTGAGATACATGCCTTTAAAAAATCCAAATGTTCAGGCCCCACCCAACAAAAATTGAAGCAATGTCTCTGGGGCGGGGCTCAGCATCGTGTAGTTTAATGTGCCCCCACCCCTGGTGAGTCTGAAGTGCAGCCATAAAAGAGAGTTCCTGTTACGATTTGGTGCAGGGAGTGGAAGAGTGGGGGATGGTTCCCCATCCTTTTACTTTATAACGGGGTTTCTCAACCTCAGCAGTATTAACATTTTGGGCCACTTGGGGGCTGTCCTGTGCACTGTGGGATGTTTGGCAGTATCCCTGGCCTCTCCCACCAGATGCCAGTAGCATCCTCCCCCATGTCGTAACAACCAAAAGTGTCTCCAGACATTACCAGATGTCCCCTGGGGAGCAAAACACCTCCTCCTCCTTCCCACCCTGCTACCTACACCCTGTTGAGAACCACCGGCCCTAAAATGTAAACTCCTGGGTGTTCCCTATGCAAGGTTTGTGCTAGTTCACCTTTCACCTATGAGTTGCAGCATCGGGACAGCATTGAATATGGAATATAAAAACAAATATGACTTAAGATAACATACACTTATGATTCAATGAGCGCTCATTATTTGAATATCTTAAAATTGCTCAGATTATACAATGAAAATGTTTGCATCTAGAAATAGGACCTTATTTTTTAAGGTAAAAGACAAGAACACCATTAAACATGAATTTTATTTTCTTTATTGGAGTTTTGGTATAGCTGCATAATTCTCAAGTTAGCTTCCTTAAGCCTCTGTTAGTGAGGCTAAGTTTTACATTTCTTTCAATCTGTTCTAAATTAAAACGTAACAAACTCATTTCAATTAGATACCAGAGAAGAGAGAACATGGCCTAGAAATGCCTCCTACAAAAAAAAAACACAAACACAAACAAAAAAACCCCATGAAATCGTCTTAAACAGTACCTTATAACAATGTTATATCTTGCATGTTTAAAAAAAAAGAAAGAAAGAAAGGAAAGAAAAGCAGTTTTAGATCAATGAAACCAGCATGTGGCTTGTCTTATGATCTGCCTCCAGGTCCCCCTCCTTTGCTGCAGTTATGCCGCCTCCGAATTCGGAAGTGCTTTGGGATCCAGCAGCATCATAAGATAAGTGGGCTCATCCTCCCGGAGGATCTGAAGCGCTTTCTCCTACATCTTTAAATACGTCAAGGGAATACGGCTTCACAGACATCAGAAAAACCATCATGGAGTGTTGTGGCCACTGGAAGTTTGAAATAAAGTCGGGTTTATAGAGCTTGGTTAGTTTTTTCAATTACATTTTTATTTTTAAGAAAAACACACTGGGTGCTTTTGGATTATTGATTAGAAGATGGGGAAACTTTCCCCCTGCTTGGAAGAGTGTCTGAAAGAGCATATCCTGTCTTGAACATCTACATGCCAAGCACTAGGAAAGGAACACTTTATGCATCATCTAGTTTAGCCCTCACAGCCACCCTGCTAGGTGGGTACTATTTGCTGCCCTCCTCCAGGTAAGACGCCGAGACTCAGGAAGACCAATACGTCCAATTACCCAGAGCAAGGATAGAGGAGCCAGGATCAAATACCAGTTTTCTGGTGTTAACTTTGGGAGTTTTAAATGAGGCAGAATTTTTCAACATCACTATCCTGGCTCCATCTCTGTTGTATGGGAAGGAAGGTCTTTTTTTTTTTTTTTTTTTTTTGGCCTCCACCGTTCTTATGACAAAACCACTACTTCCCTAGTATAGATTACAGGCCAGTTTTTTTCTCAACCAAAATGCCATATACATATTAAGCATGTGCTAGAACCGTGCTATCCAATATAGTAGCCACTACTTCAGTGGTTCTCAACTGGGGACAATTTTGCCCCCCAGGGGACATTTGATAATAGCTGTCCCAACTGAGGGGAAGTGTGCTACTGGCATCTAGTGGGTAGAGCCCAGGGATGCTGCTGAACATCTTTTACAGTGCACAGGACAGCCCCTCACAGAAAAAGAGCTATCCAGTCCAAAATAAAAATAGTGCCCAGGTTGAGAAACCCTGCACTAACCATATGTGGCTATTTTTTAAAATGTAACTTAAAGTTAGGTAAAATTAAAAATCCAGTTCCTTCATGTCATTAGACACATTTCAGGTGTTTAATAACCACCCACGGCTAGTGGCTACTGTATTGGACATTACAGATTTAGATCATTGTAGAAAGTTGTATTGGACAGCGGTCTTTAAATGCTCGATGAATGGATTTTATCTGCCTCTCAATTTCAGATTTACAGGAACCCTGTGATATAATATAGTAACGATGGCTCTACTTTCAGTTTTCTCTCTGAGAGATGAATTTGGGACTCCATTGCATCAACAGAAAGAAAATATTGTAACTATTTAAGGGAAATCATCACTTGTAAGATCACACATGGCCTAGATGATCTCTAAAGATACTTCCACTGTAATTTTTCTGTGATTCTAAATTAAATTTGCTGTATGAAAAAGACTCTAGAAAATTGTTCTCTAATGCACAACTAGTCCCCCAGTAGATGGCACTGCTGCCACATAGTCACTTAAGCAAAAGGGTTGCTCTTCATAAATGACCCATCATAAAATGGTACAGTACAGGCCCTGGAAATTTCCATTCAGGAATGAAAACTTTGTAGTGATAGATTCTACTGACACTGGGTTTCCTTGTTCTAATTTACCCAATCATTCAAATGTGACTTTCAAAACCCCACCTCTTCCTCCTGTTTTTTTCTTAATCTGATCATGGTTCCATTTACTGCTCTGAATTTAGATGGCTAATGAACATCAGCATCCTGCTACTTGCTAATTCATTTAATTTCATTAATTCATTTAATTCATTTATTTAGAAAATATTTAGTGAGTGCCTGTGTCTGGCAGGCAGTATTCTAGGTACCGGGACGGCAACAGCAAATGAGGTGGGCAAAGATTTGACTTCCTGGATCTTACACTCTAGTCAGGGAATCATTTGCTAAGGGCGAAGGAGCTGTAGGTATTTTGTTACAGTTTTCTTTTTTTAAAACACCAGTTTTAAAAAATAACATGGTTTCTCATATAAAATATAACAGACAGACCGTTGCTAATGTTAACCTTCCCTCAGCCAAATTCAGTGAGTTTAACCCAGGACTGTAACAGAACGGCATTTTTCTTCTTAAACATTCCATGCAATTAACCAATTTGAAAATCCGTATAATAGATGGTTATCACTGCAAATGGGAAAAACACCATCACCACCTCCCCTACTGCGATTTTTAAAAAATTCAAATTACCTCATTTAGATTCTATTTAAATAGAGAATCTATTTTTTTTTTTTAGTCTAGATGTGGTTATATTTGTAAATGGCATATACCTTTGAATGCTTTATCATCCCAATCTGGCACAATCTCATAAATTCTACCAGTGAAGCTGGTTAAGTGACATTTAATAGATCCACCTTCACGAATGATGGACATAAACTCAGCTTCATGAAATTATCTTTTTAAATGGTGATCATTTTCTTTTCAGATTGCAGACTTTGCACACATTTATTGTAGACCAATCTCGAATTGTCATTTTACTACATTTTTCTTGGTTTTATTCAGTAGGAACACTGGCCAGTTGGTGCACATCACTAGCACAATTCATGTTACAATGACAAAGGAAAGCAAGAGGAAGGGACCAGGCAAAGATGACTTATTTATTCTGGGTTTATAATGGGGCTGACTGACATGGTCTGATACTCCATGTACCAGGCTGGAGTGGTCAGTCATTAAGCAGATATTAGGGGCTCAGAAACCAGGGACCAAGATGTGCTCAGCTGTCTATTCTGAGTCATGGGATTGGGCCTTTATAATATGATGAAAGCCCAGCATTAGGACTTCCCTGTAAGAGCAGGTCAGCATTAAAAGCAACTAAATAACAGCTCCCATTTTAGAGGGCTTGTTAAAAGTTAGGCAGGATGCATTAGTGATTTATAGGCCTTCCCTTAAACCCTCACAGCTCTTATCCCCATTTTACAGATGGGGATGCACAGGGCTTAAGAAATTCACAAAAAGTCACACAGGTAATAGGTGGTGAGGCCAGAGTTTAATGCAGAAACCAGGGCTCTTAACACGCTCTGTTTTCTCTTTTCTTCTTCAGTTGCAGAGCTCTGGTCTCCATGTCCTAGAACTCTCCTGCTTAATTTCCTGGTAGGGCTGGGAAAATGGAGGTGGAGCCAAGCCTGTAGGTCAAAGGTTCTGGTGTGAGACCAGGAGGCTGTGCCAAGTGTGCACCTGGACATCACAGAGCCCTTTCACCAGTCACGTGAACCAGCCTGGGAGACCCCAAACTTGCTGCCTCTTGGGGCAGGTGGGTCAGTCTTGTCCTGCCAGTGGTGCTGGTGAACAGAGAAGGACACTTTTCCCATAAGACCAAGCCTGTTGTGGCAAATTAACTTTGTTTTCTGAACTGAAAATATTTTGGACTAACTCCCTCAGTGACAAAATCTTTCCCTGTAATGTGGTAGGGTAGAGGAGAAACTTCCTGGACTTTGGACAAAATTGGCCACTCATTTGCTAATTGTGTATGGTTTTCTTCTTTGCTGCTGTAATAAATAGTTCTCTATTGCCGTGTAACTTATTATCACTAACTTAGTGCCTTAAAACAACACAAATTTGTTATCTCATAGCTTATATAGGTCAGAATTTCAGGCACGGGTGGATGGATTCTCTGCTTGGGGGTCTCACGTGGCTGAAATCAGGGTGTTGGCCAGGTCAAAGGTTTTCATTTGGAGCTCAGGGGTCATCTTCCAAACTCACTGGTTGTTGGTTTAAATTAAGGACTGAGGTCCCTGTTTTCATGCTAGCTATCAGCCAGGGACTGCTCTCAGCATCTAGAGACCACCCACAGTTTCTTGCCATGCAGCCCCTCCATAGGAAGTTCTCGGCATGAATGTTTGCTTTCTTCCAGGCCAGGTGAACTACATCTCTCTGACTTCCTATTCTGCAACCAGCCAGAAAAAACTCTCCACTTCTAAAGGGCTCACCTGATTGGGTCAGGCCCACCTAGATAATATCCTGACCTTAAGATCAACTGATTTGGGGCCTTAATTACACCTGCAAAATCCCTTCAAAGCAGCACCTAGATTAGTGTTTGACTGAATAACTGGCAGGAGAAGTATGTACACCAGAGGCCTAGAATCTTGAGGACATCTTAGAATTCTTCCTGTCATACCTGTTAATAGCTAATAACCATCATTTTGTTTTAATTTGTCTGAAGTCCAATGTACAGTAACATAATAGTGATTATGTTTGTTATTTCATCAAACATACATATAGTGCTTATCCTATGCCAGGCATGGCTTTAAGAATTTCACAAACATCAACTCATATAATACTTATGTTAATTCTATGATAGAGATGCTGTTACAGTATCCATTTTACAGCTGAGGAAACTGAGGCACGGGGAGTAACTTCTCTAAGGTTACATAGTTTCTGTCAGGGACCACATGGTTCCTTTAACCACATCAAGCCTAGATCATCAATTTTGGCAATGAAGAGTGAAGCTCCAGGTGGGGCAGGAAGTGGGGCTTCTCCGCCTTCCCTCCAGACCCTTTGGGGCCTTCTCACTAAGTACAAGGCCACTGGCAGGCCTGGCTAGGGGGTGGAGAGTGGTGGGGGAGTGCTGTTCTCTCTAACGCTGGCCTTCGTGACTCTTCCTTAAATCTTAGGACAGTCCCAACTAGGCAGACGTTTTACAATAGGCTTCACTAAAGTTTATGGAAACCAGAAAGGAAGCTGAGTTACATGCTCACAAAATGCAGCTACATTTGCTACAGATCCATCTCCTTGCCTAGCTTCCGGCCAGTTTTCCTGGGACAGAGGACATTGATCCCTCACCTCTTCTGACTTCCCTTCAGCACTTATCTGTGATGTCTCCTCCACACCTAGAGAGTGAAGCCCAGAGAAGAAGATGGCCTCCCTTCTACTCAACGCCCTGGTTTCCTGTCTGATTCCCTGGTGGTGTTATTGGGAGCAACCAGTTCCTACTCACCTTGGTGTGGACTTACCCTGTGACCCCAGGAGGCCAGTCTTATCAGATGGCCCAGCAGTCTCAGGTTTGGCTTCAGCCTCGGGCTTGTCTCGATGAGGAACATGGCAAAAATCCTTGGCACTGTCCTCTCAATACAGAAAAGGGTTCAACCTTCATGCTATAGCCTCCACAATGTGACAGAAGAGAAGATTCTGCTGCCTAATACACCCTCCAAGACCTTTAGACTCCTTCAAGTGTATAAATTCTCACTGATT